TCCAGGTGAAGATGCTGCCAACTCCTTCTAAATTCCATTATATCTTCAATCTTCGAGATCTTTCCCGAATTTGGCAAGGAATGTTAACCATAAAAGCTGAGGAGTGTGACTCGATCCCTGTTCTCATGTCACTTTTCAAACATGAATGCAACAGAGTAATTGCAGACAGGTAGAAATGACCGCGCTTGACATTAAATGAATGACTTAAGAAGTTGATGCTTGCAGACAAATTCTTGTATTACCTACTCACTCAGACAGCAGTGTAAATAGCATTGTGTTAATTCTCTTGGGCTTATGAAGCAGTAGTAGCTTTAGACAGCATTGATCACCTTAAAAGTGCTCTACTGGGGCCAGTGAGATAGCTCAGCAGACTAAGCACCTGCTTAGGCAAGCGCAGGCACCGGGGTTCGATCACCACCACCAGACACAGTGCCGGCCCCACCGAGCCAGCCAAGACCAGGCGTGGTGGCGCACACCTGTAATCCCAGCCCTGGAGAGGCTGAAAGCAGGAGGAGCACTATGAGTCCTAGCTGTGTAGTGAGACCCTGTATCAAACACACTTTTTTTAAAAAGTTCTCTGCCAGTTGGACATGGCGGTGCACACCTGTAGTCCTAGATACTCAGGAAGCTGAGCCAGAGAGATCACAAGTTCAAGGCCAGCCTGGGCAACTTAGGGACCCCTTCTCTCAAAGTAAAACATAAAAAGGGCTAGGGGCATAGTTCAGTGGTGGAGTGCTTGCCTAGCATGCCTGAGGCCCTGGGTTAAGCCCCAGTGTACTCCAAAAAGAAAAAGTAAATAAAGCTGTGACAATTTCCTTGAGGCATGCTAACAGCACATTTCCATAAACCACTGTATCGTCAGAGTTGTTCAAACTGAACAGCAAAACTGAGTTGTGCATATGTTATAAAACTGTGAACTCTGGGTAGGTTTTCTCATGGTGAAATCTGGTTTCACCTCACTAAGTTCCATTATCTTGAGCCTTCATTTCCTCATCAATACCGTATGAACGATAGCGTTGGTCTTACAGAGTTGTAAAGCACGTGTCACAAAATGGTGCTCCTGGTCAAGCATTAATTCCACTCCTCCTCGCTTGGGGATGTGAGTCTGGAAAGGACCTTCATGTGCCATAACCACAAACCCAGAAAAGGGACACTCACCTATTACTGGCTGTCTTTCCTACACTCCTGTTACCAGTGCTTGGGACCCCTGATCTCACCTAAGTGATTCACCTGTGTGTTCTGTGAGTAGGGGCCACCCTGGGTGGGGTCATGTTCTCGTCCAAGAGCAGAGCACTTTGTTGCCCTGTCCTGAGGCCAAGAATGTCCAAGGTTGGGTCTGAGAACAGGTCAAGGGAGGCTGAGACCACGTTCAGTTCGAAAAGATGCTTTCATCTTTATTTATTTATTTTTCCATAATTTTATTGAGAAACAAATAGCAATGAGACAGTTTCAAACCAAATTGGTAGGGTAGTTTCAATAATTAACACATTGCATATATTCTTCCTAGTGGTTAATTGCTGTACAAGATGTGAACATGATATCCTAATGCTTTCATCTTTTGCATCCTTATTAGTGTATTTTTCTTTCAGATTTATAGCTCCTGAAGACGAGCAGTGGTTTGATGTACACCTTACCCGTGCTGTGGAAGAAAATATCAGTCCTGAGATAGCCTCCTATATTCTCCCTGAGCCATACTTTGTGGATTTCCTCCGTGAGATGCCCGAGCCGACAGGCGATGAACCCGAAGACACTATCTTTGAAGTACCCAAGGTCTATGAATTGGTCTGTATTTTCATCTCTTAAAAATCCTTCAGTTCACTCACTAGATGTTTCTCTCTGCCCCCAAGTTCCACTGTGCAGGGTGCTGTGACAGCTGAGTTATTAGTGTGTTGTGATTCATAGTTACCATATACCAAGTAAAATGTTTTCATCAAAGAAATTTGGAAACAAGCTTATTGAAGCCAGATATAAAACAAGTGTGCCGACCATCTCCACTTTATTTGATATTGCTTTGAAAGTTTTAGGCAATGGAGCAAAATGACAAAAATAGCTATCACTGGCAGACAGGGAAAAACCCCAAAGTATTGGTAGAGATATGATAATTTAATTATATAACTCAAAAGAATTTTGGCTTCTAAGATGACCAAGTGTTATATAAGCACGTAACTCAATAACTATCTTCTGTACCAGGGAATAGCAAATTACAGTCTATGGGTCATTTCTAGTCCACTGCCTGTTTTTGTTGCACTGTGAGCTAAGAACAGTTTTTATATTTTTAAAAGCTTAGAAAAAAAATCAAAAAGTGTATAATATCTTATGACACATGGAAACAATATGGAACTTGAAAGTTCCATAAACTTTATTTATGGAACTACATAAATAAAGTTCCCAAGTAAAGTTCAGTTGGGTCACAACTATTTCCATTTTCTTACTTCTTGTGTGCAGCTGTCTTGCACTGTAGGGACAGAGTAAAAAGGTCAGGAGCAACTGCATGGTCTGCCAAGCCTACAATATTTACTACTGTGCCCTTCACAGAAAGTTTGCCAGGCCTTACCAACAATCACAACATATAAAATATTACACAAGTATTTCATTCCACAACAATAATTCCTAGGGCTTGGGAGAGAGCTCAGCAGTCTAAGCACCTGCCTGGCAAGTGCAAGGACCCAGGTTTGATCCCCGGTAAAAAAGTTTTAAGAACCCAACAATTCCTAGATAAAACATTTTGGAATTAACTTGATAAAACCTCACTTAACTGGAGAAAATACATCATTTTTTCCTAAATTAATTGATAAGTTTAGTGAAATATAAAATAAGATTCCAAAGAGATTTTTCTGACACAGCAACCATTGAAAAAGAGTAGCCATGGCCCTCCGCTATCCCATGGCCGTGGGCCTCAACAAGGGCCACAAGGTGACTAAGAATGTGAGCAAACCGAGGCACAGCCGCCGCCGCGGACGTCTCACCAAACACACCAAGTTCGTGCGGGACATGATCCGGGAAGTGTGCGGCTTTGCCCCCTATGAGCGGCGCGCCATGGAGCTGCTCAAGGTCTCCAAGGACAAGCGCGCCCTCAAGTTCATCAAGAAAAGAGTGGGGACGCACATCCGCGCCAAGAGGAAGCGTGAGGAGCTGAGCAACGTGCTGGCCGCCATGAGGAAGGCAGCTGCCAAGAAGGACTGAGCCCCTCCGGAATAAAGCTTTGCAGAAAAAAAAAAAAAAAAAAAAAAAAAGAGAGATTTTTCTAAACCAGGTCACATGACCTAAGTAATTAATGCATTAGAACAAAGAATTAAATGAGAAGGAACAATTTTTGAAATAAACTGGGGTATTTCACAACAATGAAGACTGGTGAATCTGTGGCTCTGTAAACAATGTAATACTTTGGTATGTTTTTAAAAAGCCAGAAAAAGTATTAAAAAGCAGATTAAGAATAAAAAAAAATTGTCACAGTCCATCCTTAATTAACGTGGATACGAATTGGTGCTGAGCCTTTGGAAGCAAAAGGCCAGAAACGGTGTGCTGCTGGATGCCAGCTGGTGGAGGTGGGTCCTGGGGCCAAATTAAATATTACTAAAAATGGATTCCTACATGATAAGTCTCTGGAAAATCTAAAAAGTCTTTTAAAAATAATTTTGTGTGCCTTGACAACTGAGGTTTGAGGAAACATCTGCAGCCTCCTTACTTTCCTCTTTCTTTCCACCCCTAGGTACCATCCTTTGAATTTCTAGCTGAAAAACTTCAGTCTTACCAAAGGCAGTTCAACGAAGTCATTAGAGGAACGTCGCTTGACCTGGTGTTTTTCAAAGATGCAATGACTCATCTTATTAAGGTTCTAACTGTTGACTGTTTCCTGATATAAATGGATGGTGTAGAAGCTTAGTAAATTCCACAGATAAATTGGAGAGAAAGTAAATATGCACTATCACACGGCATATAGAAGAGTATACACAGCCTGGGTCAGCTCACTGTCTCAGGCAACAAGGGCTTGATACAAAATCCTCTGTTTGAATCCACCCACACAAGAGCAAATGCTTTCCAGTACAAATTCATAGGTTTTGTGTTCAGAGCTTTTCTCATGTTTAGTCAAAGAGCCTTGTCTTCCCGAAGGGAAACTGGAGAGCCCCATGGAGAAGTGTAGCCTCTTGGAATTACAGGTTGTTAGAGCTTTTCCCACAAGGGAAAGCTGTTCTTTACTGAGTTCAGCTTTGTGGCTGGAGTGCAGACTTGGATGAATTGGTGGGGAAGGAGGATGGAGGCACACAGTGATGGGATGGCAAGCTGGTCGGGGCAGTACAGGCAAGGGCATGTTTGGATGCAGAGTCTAAAGTATTACAGAAAGTTGTTTGTTTCTGTTATTGGTTGTCTGAGAGTGAGTTCTTAAGAAGTGACAACTTGGGTAGAGAAGTATGACAAAATGAGATTCCAGAAATGTTGGTGTGGGAGAGATTCCAGATGCTCTAATGTGGTTCCGTCATTCATGCTCTGGGCAAATACTCACTGAGCAGCTACCGTGGCGAAGTCTTGGGAGCTGATGACCCTGCTGTGGGGGTCTAAGACTACAACCTAAATGATGACCATGTTTTAAAAATGTAATGATAGCTGGGAAGATGGCTCAGTGGAATAAGCGCTTCCCTGGCAAGCACAAGCACCTGAGTTCAATCCTCGGTTCTGCCAAAAAATAAAAAAATAATAATAAAATAAAAATGTAACGATAGTGTCCAGGCATACCAAGGCATCAGGCCTCTCCTGCTATCTGCTAAGCATGCATTTTAAAAATGTGCTGGTCATAATGGGTTTAATGATCTCTTCCTAATCCATAACATTCACGTAAAATATAGCTTTTCAGAAGTCTGCGGGCAGCCTATGTAAGATTCAGACTACCGTGTGAGTCTTATCCTCACCGGGAAAATCAGTGCTAGGAAAGTGGTGCTGTGGGAAGCCCGTCTCCCTGAGCCTTTGCCATAAATGTTCCCTTCTCCCACCAGAGGCAGGATTTTGGTACTTTTAAAAATGCTTTCCTGGTACTCACTTTGGAACAATACAGAGAAGGTTAACGTGGCCCCTGCACAAGGGTGACACACACATTTGTGGAGTGCTCTATACTGTAAAAATAAGGGTAAATTATAATTATAAAATGATTATCATTTGTATAATGAAGGCTTTGTACTTGAAAACACTTGCTCTGTTCTGTTTAAGTCATTTGCCCATCTTTCAGAATTGAATTGTGATGTTTTTCTTATTGATTGTTAACCAGATTCAGGTTCCTAAGCTCATTCATTATCATTTAAAAAAATAATAATAGTGATTCTTTAAAAATGCTTTGTTGGCCAAGCATGGTGGTGCATGCCTGTAATCCTAGCACTCAAGAGGCTGAGACAGGAGGATCATCTCAAGTTTGAAGCTAGTCTGGACTACAGAGTGAGTCCAAGGCCAGCCTGAACTATACTGCAAGACCTCCCAAAGCAAACAAACTGCTTTGCTGGCAGAGATGTGACAGGGGCAGCATTTGTTGTAGAAAAAGGTGCTTGTATGATTAACTATATTACTGATAATAAGCAAATGATTCTAGCCTATTCTTATATCTTCTGCAAATTAGCAGCCATTGAGTTTAAAGATAATAAGATTACGCACACCACAAACACATAGAATAGTTATGAAATAGAGCAAAATAATTTGCTTATTTTCATGGTGCAAATACAAATGGACAAAGAAAAATGATTAAAGTGACATGAAAAATTTTTTAATTCCAAGAATATACTTACAAGGAAAATATCTAATACAGTGTAGAAATCTCTGCTTAAACCCTTAAAAATTTATACCTTTTTTTCTAATGAACACTTTTTTATTTGTTGATTTGGTACAGGGTCTCACTATGCAGTCGGACTTGCAGTGATCCTCCTGTCTCAGCTTCCCCAGCCCTGGGATTACAGGCAGACACGGCCATGCCTGGTTTCAGTGGCCAGCTCAGCATGGGGCTGGCATGGCATGCAGTACTGGGATTGAATCTGGGTCCTTGTGCTTGCCACACAGGCACTTAGACCGCTGAGCCATCTCCCCAGCCCCTAATGCACACTTTTTAAATTTCAAAACAGATTTCACGAATAATTCGGGCTTCGTGTGGAAATGCGTTGCTGGTGGGTGTCGGTGGTTCTGGAAAACAAAGCCTTTCAAGATTGGCATCGTTTATAGCTGGATATCAAATATTCCAGATAACATTAACCAGGTAGGATACAAGAAAACTGGACAAAATGTTTCTCTAAGTTAATTTCTCTGGAGTTGAATATTAGATTTTAAAGAAATACAAGTTATTGCTCTTCTTTGTTAAGTAAGTTTTTATTGAAATATGGCTTATGTGAGGGATATGTGTGTTGTGGGGTCACAAAGCACGAAGCACACCTGTCCATCAGCCCATGAGAAATAAGACATTACTTTGCCCCAACACATTATTGTGGCATGTGGCAGTTACCTCCCAGGCATAACCAGATTCCAATCCCTCAGCTCATTCATCCGTTTTGTGTACCTTTTTTGTCAGTTCCTACAAGGTTTCCTTTTTGACACCTCCTTTCTGTTCTTGCACTGTGGGTGAGCTTTATCAGTGGTGTTCTATTTTAGCCATGGTTTGTTCATTTTTATTGCTGTATAGTGTCCCATTTTATCTTATCTCATTGCTACCATTTATTCATCTATCAAGCTATAAATAAATATTTGGTCTCTGACAAATGGAACTTCTGTGAACATTCCTGTCCATGTCTAAGTGTGCTCCAACAAGTAAAATTGCTGAATATAGAATGCACAATACTATATTCAGCTGTAGTGGATCTAAGACGTTTTCCAAAGTGAGTATACCAATTTTCATTTCTACCAACAAGTTGAGAGTTTCAGCCACAAAGATATTGTCTCATTACTTCCTTAACTTTTATAAATAAAACTTACTACTTTCATACAGCTATAACCCACCTTACAAATTCATTTTCTTATAAACTCTGAAGAGGTAATTGAGATTATTATTTTCTATATACATACCCAGATGAGCTGGCTGCACTTATTTAAAAGATCCTCTTTTCCTGGCTATGTCATGGTGTCGTTTTCTTTTTGGTCATAAATCATCTGATCGCAGGAATTTTTTTGATCAAAAATTGTGTACTTTTTATTAATTTTATAAAATGATAAGAAATATAAAAACATAATTTTATCAAATTTATTCAATAGGATCGCAGGAATTTTTGCTTGAGTAGATGGATGCAGAGGACACATTACGTTAGAACTTTAGTATCTGCACTGCTGAAGTGAGCTCGACATACTACATTAGAAAGCAAAGCACAGAACAGATGAGCTTAGAAAACTTCTGCAGAAGAGGACCCATGACAGGGAGGCAGAGTGACCAGGACCTGAAGAGGGGCATGATAGGACTGGGTCTGTCTGTGACAGAAGCAACCCTTGGCAGTCTAATTTTCTTTAAAATAACCAAAATGGTTACATGACTTCATTAGCGGATGGCTTCCGACTCAGATCTTTCTCTGAAAGACTCATCCCAAAAGCACAGGCCAAAACTGTGGCACAGGCGTGTCTGTGGTTCAGGAGCCCATCCGAGGAGTTCCTCTCAGTGAATTTTCCTGGGGAACCCTCCTGAGCAGGACTCCTAGGCTCTCTTGGGGCTGGAGGGTCTTTGCTGACATCTAAAGGCTTCTTACAGTAGTGAGCCCTGAACAGGGGAGCTGGTGCTCCTAGTTTAAAACAAGCGTAAGATAAGCCCTCTAGGCTTTGGAGGGTCCTTACACTCTGCTGTTCTCAGGGCCCACAACCTCTACAGTACATGCCGTCATTCTGTCGATGATGAGAAGTGTGCGGGAGCTTCTCTCGAGCTGCAGCACAGATTCAATCCCAGAGCTTTCTGGTTGCAAGCTCCATAGGCTTTGCATCACATGCTCTGGCTCAAGCCAAGCTCCCTACCACTTGCACTGTGAGACCTCCTGAAAGTAAGGCGTCTTTATTGTGCTTGTCATCAGCTTACCCTGACCATATAAGGCGCTTGGGACGAGGCCTGCTTTGTTCTCACTACACTGCATCACCACCTGCAGCCCGAACGTGCAGCAGGAAACAGTGGACAGAGCAGCACCTGCTCCTTTCATAATCTATGACCCCCCGAAGTGTATTTCTGTTACTTATACCAAATCACATAATATATATTTTTCTGTAGGCTTTCTCTATATCTAACCACTTGGTGAGACATGTAAATAACTACTTTATCTGCTTTTTAAAATTTATAATTTCTTGTGATTTTTCTCAACCAACCAAACTCATCCAAATTTCAGGTCAGGTATTAGACATGTTTTCAGCTGGGTGGAAGCTGTTGCCGAGAGCCGTAAGGTTGCAGGGGTGCAAAGCTCGTTTTCCTTTCCCATCGCTGTACAAGGATCACTTCTGGTAAAATCTCCCTGTTTCTCACTTCTCAGAATAAATACAATGTCTCTGTTCTGAATGGCAGCACTTAGCTCTTCAGCCCAATCCCTGTGCTTTCTGGAAGGCACTGTTACCTAATCTCGGTTGAGCCTGGTTCAGATTACATTGTAACTACCACGGGTTCTTACTGTGCTTCCAGATACATTATGACCATATATGTTTTTCCCCTTTAATTGTAAATGTTCCCTTTCCAGGTCTTACAATGTGAGCAACCTAACAGATGACTTAAAATTTTTATACAAAGTTGCTGGTGCGGATGGAAAAGGAATCACCTTCATCTTTACTGACAATGAGATCAAAGACGAAGCATTTTTAGAATACCTTAATAACTTACTGTCCTCGGGGGAGGTAGGTCTCAGTAGCAGAGGGAAAGCTAACGCTAAAAAATGTGGATTCTGCTTGGATAGCAAAGGTGGGGGCCAGAGAGATAGCTCAGAGGCATAAGCACGCACCTGGCAAGCACAGGGACCCACGTTTGATCCCCAGCCCCACATGCTGTGTGATCTTGGCCCTGGATGTGGGCACCTGCCATGCGGCCTGGAACTGCGTGTGGTGGCACATGCCTGTAATCCCAGCATTCAAGAAGTTGAGCGGGAAGGATCTCTGGGAGTTTTAGACCAGCCTGGGGGGCTACAAAATTGAGCACAAGACCAGCTCAAACTGCACAGCGAGAACCTGTTCCCCACCACCACCACCAAAAAAAAAAAAAAAAAAAAAGCAAGGGCAGCAACTCTTCAGAAACAAGGCCCTTTAGCACACATTCTGGATTTGTGAAATGAGATTTTGTATATTTTTTTTGTATAGTTCATGTGAAATGAATGCTATCCACTTCCAAATTTTAAGTATGGCTCCTTACTTGTCTCTTTAGTCTTCTATTTGATCTTACAAATTATTTTAGAAGGAAAGTAGCCCTGTATCAGCTCATTAATCAGAGGATGGAAAATTCTGTTAGCTGTAAAATTCTGTTCTGGCACTGCTGCTTGCAATACCAGCTGTGGTGGCCCTCCTGTGACCGCTCACTGCTGCAGACAGGACTTATCCGGAGGACTCATGCAAGTTAGGGATAATGCTCCTGGCTAAGATTTCCTGCAGCAGCCATGCAGCCAGGGTGCACAGCTGGAGCAGGAAGGAAAGAGACAGCGCGTGGAGTTTGGCAGAGTCTGCGGGCCTGCATCGTGCCCTCGCCAGCGTGCTTGCTCTGCAGGACACAGACCCGGACCCCGAGTTTCTGCTCAGGGAAGCCCGTTTGGGATTCAGAGACCTGTAGTTTCATTGGTCCCATAGCTACTCTCCGCCTGCCTACAACTGCCTAAGTTCTAGACTCCCGGAAGAGCAGGTGTTCTCTGTCTGTCGCAGCATTTGTGTCCAAGTATGGGCACAGTGTGCAGCCTCACCCACTCGTAACGGGGGAGCGTTCCCAAAGGATGCTAGCCCAGATGCCAGCCCTTCTCTATGGTAACTCTGCCCCGCAGAGTTGTGCTGCTGAGGCCAGATGGTCGTGTATCGTGGAGCCAAAGTGGCGAAGACGGACTCATTAGCACACATTTTAAATCGTTGTTCAGAACAGTGGAAGTAATGTTTTAGTGATAGCTATTTAAGGACAAAGAAAAAACAGGATCAATTCGTGATTCAATTGTGTAATAAAAA